TAGTGAGTCTGCAAAACTGCTCCCCAAGTATTTTTTGTTTGATAGATTTTTCCTTGAGACCACTTGAAATCTCATTTCTTGCAATTTTTCTTGTGGGTAGGTGCAGGTCTTTTGAAACACTAATCTAGCAGAAGCTCTTTCAAATTTTTCCTAATTTCTATTGCAAAATATGGAGCTCTTTGTGAAAAAAAAATCCTACTTTATTTCTGTATGATGAGCAGCCCTCATATTTCTGTAATTGCTTGACAACTTCTCCATATAAGGTGATAGTATTAAACACAGTGTGTCCCTATTATTCATTGTTAGAAAATACAATTGTAGAGTCTGTTACTTCTCACTGATATCCATGCCTTTCAGATCTGGAGTGAGGCTTCACTTAAACCTCTTTAACCTCTTAAGGCTTTGAAGCCTGTAGCTTCACATACTTTTAACAATTCCTGGTGCTACATGATGTTTTGATCACTTATCTTGACTGGAAATACTCTTCCACTGAAAGACCTGTTTTGTTGTAGCCATGTAGTAGAACATGCAACTCCTCTTTAGACTTACTTGGAAGTGCAGGTTTGGAAGGCAACAAGAAATCAGAATAGGTTTAATTTTAAAGTAAAACCTTTTAATCTAACTAAAAGCTTGTTGCTTGCTTCGTGTATAATTTAAAATTCTAGATTCTCCTAAATATTTGAAAATATAATTGATTTAAGTGAATCTGAAAGTAAGGGAAATTAGCATAAAGCATTTTATACTTCACTTTGCCACCTGATGTGGTTACTTGCCTTGAAACAGGTTTTTGTTTGTGGCTTACAGTTTTTCTCACATTGTAGCTGTGTTACGCATTATGCAGAAAGACTTTGAAGTCCTCTGCAGGGGAATCTTCTTTATATAAAAGCCTAAAAGTATTGGCCTAATGGAGGTTCAAATCTATCACTATAGTCTAATATATGTTTGTGCTAATTCTGACAACTGCCCCCATTTTAGTTTCCTCAGAACACATCTACACACCATAGTCCAGACTACGCTGCACCTGTTCCATCCATATACCGAACCACCCATATGCAAGCAATATGGCAGGGACTCAAGTGTCTGCATTGGGCTTGGTGCTATGCTAAGCCATGAATCATAAGCAAGAGTTGCATCAATTAACACAACTCTCCTGTATATTGCAATCATCTTGCATATCAGGCTGTTCTTTAGAGGTGGTTATTTGCTCAGTGCTGTGCTAATATAGTGAATGAAACTTGTGGACCAGAGATGATATGCAGAGGGTAAGGCACTCGGGTGAGAGCCATGCCTGTATGCAGTTGACTGCAAAGTATCTCCTAAGCTTATCTTTTTCTTTATGCTCTCACTCATGGAGATGGCAAAAATCCTCACAGGTACTCATTACAAGTTTTGGAGAAGAAAGGCTATCAGGCTTTACAGCTCAGTCTTCTCTGCACTTCCGGTAACAGATATAGGATGAGATTAATAAACCCTGATTGACAGATGCAGGTTAATTTTATTATGCATCAATAAAGTTCCACAAACAGAAATGGTTGGGTCTGAATGTGTGTAAGCAAGCTTCACCTCAGGACTGTACTGATACAGCAACGCTCTTCCTGTGCTACAGCTGGCTTCTATCTAGGTAGCTAGGAGTGCTGTTGGAGAAAATTTGTTGCCGTTTCTACCTGAGCATTTGGACAGGCTGATGCGGGGTAGGTTTCTGAAAGTGAAATACAACAGTGCTAGCTCTTTCCTCCTTTCCCTCTTTATCTGGCTTCTTTTTACCACTTAATAGTGTTTTGTGAGGGGAGGACTAATAGGGCAAAAGGACTTTAAGGACCTTATTCTAGAAAAAAAACAATACAAGCAACAAAATACCTGGCAGATGGTGAGAACCCCTACTAATCAGAAAATCTTCCTTCCATAGATGAAACTTACTAAGAATTTTTAATAACTTTTAGTTAGGGGAAAAGAGCTTTCAGACCATTTCCATTTGTAGTACTGACATGGTAATAGATTTTATTCTGAATATTAGACATTCATATTTAACCATTTATTCTTTTATGCTTAGATATGCTTTTAGTTTGTGGCATATAATTTGAATGTTCACATATGATCTGACATGGAAAGAGTCTTACAAACTGAGAGGCAGTATGCCTATTACCTGACTTTGACCTCTAGTGATGATTCAGTCTGGGAGAGCCACAATTTCAAATAGCTCACAATGAAAGGTATGGACTTCCAAAAGGCATTTAAAGCTTCTAAGCAGGATGCTTAGCTTTTATATATTGAAGCTCTTTCTGTATCAGATCCATCTGTATGGGGAAGCAACAGGCAAAGAAAGGCTGTCTCACAAGTATGTCTGGGAAGACCTGCAGCCTTTCAGTAGACAATGATTTGCAGAATAGAGAACTGCAGAGCATTTGCAAGTATAGTATCTGTGAATGTATTATTCCAATCCTGCAAAAACTTAAATGTAACTAAAAACTACTGTTTAAATCAATGTGCTTAGTTTTAAGCATGGTGAATAGGCCTGTTGGCAATATTTGATTTCAGTCCTTTCACACAATATATCTTGGCTAGGTGTTATTAGAAATGCAGTGATTAACAACAAGACTCAAAGTAACTGAAAAATGGAATTGATGTCTGGCACGCAGTGTAAAGCAGCTCAATTGCAACCAAAAGCTGAATTTTCCTGTAAGCTAAACTAAAGCAAGAGGCACATGAAGCTTTTCAACTGTAACATGGTAAACATGGCACATGCTTTAGGAAAGATTCCTTGATATTTTTAAACAATCTTTCAAAGACAAATCTACATTAAACTACACAAGCAGTTTCAGAGATCTGTCATAATGCTACCTTTTCCTTTTGTGAGCTTATACATTGAACATAGTGAAGGAGCTCAAGCTTTGAAAATAAAAAAATCAGGAATGGAATTTGTGGTATTACAAAACTCAAAACAAGGAAAGATTAAAGTGACTTGTATCAGGAGTAAGAAAATCACACCCATATGCTTTGTGCTCTCCTGAATCTCATCTCACAGCCCTGCTTGCATAAAGCTGCTGCAGGGTTTCGTGGGTTCAGGCTCCCATCCTACTGTGTAAAAGAAATCAAGAGGTCAAAGACGACCATTTCTCCTTCACATCTTCAACCTTAACTGTGACAGATTGGCAACAATTTTCAATGTAGAGCTACAGTTATTTAAAAACACAGTTAAAAAATAGGTCTTACAAATACAGAAAAGATGTAAACAATGAAAGAGCTAGTTCAAGCTGACAGGACAAAAAGGAAGTTATTGAAGCTACAGCAAGTGCATTTCACATTCAGTGACAGGAAAAAATATTCTAAATTAAAAAAAAACAATGGAAGAATGAACAAAACCCCATAAAAGTCTTCAGAAAAAGAATTTTGAAATGTGGCTACAAAATTCCTATATTAATCATTACTTCTAATCCTGCCAACAGTGTAAGGCAGGTGGCCTCATGACCACTCAAAATCTCATGTAGAGTAGGACTGGGCTAGCACAGTATTAATACTATATAATACCCATCTTTTTCTTTGGAAATGAACTTCATAAAAACAAAAGCAGTACTTCAAACACTCTGCATACTGCTTATTATTTCCTGTCACAAAATACCACACACTACAAACAAGGCACTCCAAGGGCATACAACTGTCCTGCTTACCTAGTGGGAAAAGTACTGCAAAGTCATCATCTTTCTCAAGGACATAAAAAGTGTTGGGGTAACTCTTTATAAGCAAGCAATGCCTCTGGATATAATGTACACATTCATCTGTTATAGCTTTTGATCTCCCAGGGGAGATCCTCTATTTTAAATAGGCCTAAAATGTCTGCTGTTTTTCAGATTATATGTTTGGTTTCGAGAATTTTGGGTGTTGCGGAGAACCGCTCTTCTCTCTTCTCCAGCATGGCTCAGCCCTGACTTTCTGCATCGCTGTCTTCCCTGCCTGTTGCTACAGACCATAACTCACAATACCTCATGGAGCAATCAGCATTCCTTCAACATCCATGTTAGTTACTTCTATGCAGATGTAGTATTCCTTGGAGGCAGTCAGCCACGCCTACTTTTTTTACTTAGTATAGCTAACATGCTAGCATTACCTTTGAAAGCAAAATAGTCTATATTAAATAGTATCTATCTGAAAAGTCCTTATCACTCTTGTCTGTAAATTGGGGGAAGGATGGGACTAGTATATTTCATAAGTAGCAAGTACTATAAAATATGTCATAAAGTCAAGTAATTTCCTGTTTATAATTAGGAATTGTGAAGGCAAATTGCATATGCTGAACATTTAAGCTTGCCTAGTTTTGCTACTCCAGAATATAAACTAGGTGAAATGCCAGCCAGAACTTTTTCACAAATGTGTGTACTATGCTTTGTGAGTTTTTTTAAGAAAACAGGAGACCTTATTATTTGTGCATGGAACTAAAATCCCACAGGTTTAAATCCACTATTTAAATCCCACTGTTTAAATTCAATCATCCACAGCAGTTCTTTTTATAACAGCTATTGGAAATATTGCTAGAAGTGTCTTGCTAAACTTGACTGCATAGCAGAAACCATGGGGACTATCCAAATGTAATGTATACAAAACACTGTGCTGCTATCGCACAGCTGTGTATACTGTAAATCTTTGTGTCAGTCATCATTCCAGAAATATTACACACAAAAAATGGAGTGGAGAAAGGTGCAACCTAATACTTTCAAGAGCCAAATAGCATGAATGGGAGCCTTCTATTTTGGAAGTGATGTTTCTGTCTGGGCATAATTACCTGGCATAATTATAAGACTGAATAAATGAAAAGGACTTCATCTGTCATCTTTGCATGCCACTATCTTTAGAAACAGCCAGTTTAAAAAGATCTTTGTCATGGGCATTGCATAAATAGTTTTATATACATAAGTATATAAATGTATATATATTATCTGTGTGTGTACAAACACATGTTAAACAAAAGCCCTATGATGATTTAAAAAACCCATAGCATACTTCATAACTTATTTTTTAGGATAAACTATATTTTTACTTCAGAAATCGAAGCTATCAGTGACTTTTTAAAATGACTATATGTATACAGGACATTGCCAGATTAATATTGATTTTTTTCCCCCTCCACTGCAAGCAAAGTTTAGAGAGTTATTTTTCATACTGAGAAATATTTATCAAGCTTCAATTTTGCTTCTTGAAAGCTGATAATTAGGCCTTTTGATTGTGATCTTTTTTTTAATTGTTAAGTCCAAGTAACCAAGCAACTATGTGCAGAAATTAACCTTTTTATTATATTATATACTGTAGTAGTAAAATTTGTTTGAAGTGCATGATTAAAAAGTTAGAGAAATTACAGAAGGAACAATCTAATATAGCAGTAATAGGTGCATTCACTGTGTATCTGAGAGGAGGAGGGGGGAAAAAAGAAGACTTTTCAACTCATTTTGGCCTAAAGCATATTCAGGTTTCCAGGATTCTGACATCAGAACCCAGATAACACTGGTTAGAACCATAGGGCTTTACAATAAAAGCTAAAATATTGACCATATGATGGCAAAAAGTCTTTATTTTGTGGTTAACTTATTCTCTTCTAGCTACTCTCTGATGAAGTTGGTGGTGCTGTAGAGGATGATCTCCTTCTTCTTGACAAAGATCGTGATCGTTCAGCACTGTAGGCAACATGCTTATCGTAATTTTGTATCTGAGCCTCGAGGAAATCCCTCTGTTGCTGGCTGACTGTCTGGCTAATCAGTCCAGGGAGAGCTTGAATGTTACCAATTAAAGTTTCCAGTTTAGTTTCCAGTGTAACAATTCTCTTCTCAAAATCTTCACTTCTTTCATTTAAGTCAGAAATCATGTCATACATGATGTTTTGAGTCTGAAAGTAGAAGAATATAAGCAAAGGTTTAGAGAGACCTTGCAAATATTTCAACAAGCAGCATGACTCTAAAAGGGTTTGTAGATACTTCTGCACTTCACAGACAAAAAAAAAAAGAAAAGGCTACAAACATTGTAACAATATCCAATGTTGTGAAAAAAATTTCCTTGTAGATTCACGATAAACTTTCTACTAAATTTATTGAGAAGGAATGCAATGTGCTTTGAGTAGCACTTCAGTTGTTATGATATAAATGAATCACTCAAAAGACCAGGCCTTTTTTGGAAGATCAGCTGCTTAGAAATGAACCATGCATTTGTTTGCAAACAAATTCTTTGTTAACAGTCAATTGTGTAAACCACCAGGAGCTTGAAGGCTCCAAAGTTGTGATCCATCCTTGTCTCTTCTGTATTTCCTCTGATTTTCAACACCCTCATTCTTCTAAGCAGTACACAAATGTTTATTTGATTTCTCCTTAAACTGAACAGGTACTCCTGAACTGGCTGTAGCAATAGTAGTTGGGTGGGTTATTTTTGAAATGTAGTGTAAGGAGGCAAACTTCAACCTCATGCTTCCCTCCTTCCACATTCACCAATACATCCATCCTTTACAAAACAGTGTTTGGTTTTAGCAAGTATATAGGGTGTAATTTAAAACATTATAATGCTCAGTAAAAATGTGATCTGTTCTGATGAAATCTGTTATTTCATAGAGACTTGAAATGCATTAAAAATAATTACTGAATTTCTCCCTGATAGACTGAGATTAGAGTCAAAGTTGAAGTTTACAAACCACCCTAAGGGAATGAAAATTGATTGAATGACTCAGCCTGAAGTATAAAGCACTTCAGCATCAGATGAGTGTTGATAACCTATTTCTCTGCCCCATATTTCAAGATACTAGCACAACCCTTGAAAGTGAAACAGTCTATGTTAAATAGTATCTGAAAGTCCTTATCAGTTGCCAGAAGCACTAGACTGAAATGTATTTTCAGTAACTGAAGTTGTCAGGTGGTTCTCCAAAGCAAAAGGGGAATGAACACTGAAGAATTTAATCTTTGTTTTGATGCATTTTAAATCGAGGAAGGGTTTAAGGTACATGAAGAGGTGTACAAGAAGCCCTTAGGAAAGGACCATTAACGCCTCTAATGTAGCCTCAAATTGCTATCAAAGTAACAGTTAAATACTGAGGTCTAATGTGAAACCTGGAATGCTATCACCTCAGCCCTCTAACTCTGTAGTCACTATTCTATATTAATGAGAAATACCAGCAACAGTAGACAAACAGTTTGCAACTGAATAATCTCTTTTTTGGGGCAGCTATTATTCATTACAAAAACTTATACAAATGCAGACCTAAATTTACTTGTCTAAAGACACTGCTGCGTAAGACAAGCAGAATACAAAACCAGAATGTCTAATTTCAGTCTGCGTAAAAGCCTGTGTACTATGGTCTCTCCCAGTACAGTCACTATCACTGGGTGGGAAACCTCTTCACTATGCAGCACTACACTACTACAGCGCACTCACAGTTTAGCATTCACCATCACCACTGCAATCAGTTCAGGAGATCTCAAGATCAGTTTCTCAACACTGAAATCCTTTTCAAATGTAAAAAAATTAAAAAATTATATATATAAAAAAAGGTGCATTCAAAATTTGGTCAGAGCCATTAACAAGATGTTTCATTCAGTTGGTATTACCATGAAACGCACACATATTTTCATTTTCCACAAACAGCAGATTCGTTAACAATATTTGCATGTATTATGTATAACATTTTCACTTACAGACTCTCCAGTTTGAAAGGATGAAAGTTGAAACAACAGAAATTGCCCACTAACCTTTGCCAGGTCCACCAAAGTGTTTGCTTGATCATTCAGTTTTCTTTGTTCCATTTTTACACTTCTTAATCTAAAAAGTGGAATTTTAAGTCAGATTTTTTTTGTGCAAGTGGTCGTATTAGTATTTCTAAAAGGCATGCACAAAACTTACAGGAGCAAATAACTGCATGGACAATGCCTTGAGTACTTTGTGTAAAGTCAGAACTGGTCATGTGCCTGCTATAATGGGAAGCATGCTTCTTCAACACCGCAAATAAGGAAAGAGCAAGGAAATGTGATGTTCTTGAGAATACTATTTGCCATAGTCAAAGTTGAATTCAAAAAGTGAGATAACAGTTTATCCAGGCTACACGAAAGAAAGCCATAACATTCCTCGAAGCCTCAGTATCATGACAAGTAGATATAGGAAGAAACATAGAAAACTGGTTTTTGTCATTTATGTTGTAGCAAACAAGAATCTTCCCATGCCTACATGACTAGATACAGGTATTAGCCCTGTTCTGTCGGAAATGGATTGGGTTAGCAGGTGTTTGAACCTGATGGAAATACAGTGATAAGTGAGTTTCTCATTACTTTAAACAGAACTTCTGATCTGACCAGCAGCTAAATAACCAACATACTTGCCAATACATTTGATTTTCGCACACAATTTGTGAATCTAAATACATTTTAAACTTACACAATACATTCCTTTTCAATGCATTATTTAAACTAGAGCATTGGAAAATTATGAAAAAAGCAGCAAAGGTGTATTTTTATATATTTTGCCTACCTTTGTGCATTATAATTATTCATGCATGTTCTTTGAAAGACATATACATGACCTTTCTTTTCTGTTCTCCTAAACAAAGTTCACGTTTGTCAGATTAACTTCCAGAGGAATGATTTTTCACAAATAAGAAATTTCTTCCTTAAATACAAGTTTATTGTTCACCATTTCCCAGCACAGAAACACTTGGACTTTCAATGTATTTTCTGGTGGCTGTTCTAAGCAGGAAATAGCAGCTTTCAAAAACAACATAAAAAATATTTAAACAATGTGTGTTAAGATACCAGTCTACTAGTACCTCAAGGGCCAAGCAAGCTAACCATTTGTTTAGCTGTCAAGTGAAAATAATTTCGGCAGCATTTTGTGCCAGGTGGTTTGCTAATGCATAATCTGCTTATTTCTCAGGGATGGTGTCACTTTGAAAGCTAGTTTAAAGAAAGCATTCTTGGAGATATCCCCAAATCAGGAAGTTTCTTTTCACATCTTTAGTTACAGGGCATTTCCTTTCTTATCTAAGCTAACCACCATTACAAAATTAGTTGTGAAGAGTGAAATATCTTTTTAAACACATGGAAATAACACTGTTAAGCTAGAAATCAATTGTTCACATAAAATTTACATTCCAGCAGCTTTTTACTGCTTCCCCTGGAGGTATCCTTCAGAGCACAACATGTGGCAATGCTGGAGCTACCATAAAGTAAAAAATATGGAGGAGTCTCCAAGGAATGCAGTTATATCATTACAATCTCACTTCTGAAGAATTACTCAAAGGTAAGCATGAATGATTTGACTGGAGAATGATAACCCTAGTGTTTTGGTGAGCATCTCTCAAATAATTCACAGAATATATGTTATCTGCATTTCTCAGCATTCACTGACTCATCTGTTTGCCCGTTAGTACTTTAATTTTAAAATACCAAGAAATCCATAGTTATTGTAGCGATACAAGTACAAGCTGACACCAACATGGTAATTCCTCATGATAACCAACCCAGTATTTATCACAGACTGTAAAAAGTGTATCTTTGGCAAGTCTTTAGATTCAGCAGCTGGATTTAAAGAAAACTGTCAGAATTTTGTTCCTAAATTCATTAAGAGAAAATATGAAACATCTTATTATGAAACTTCACTTATCACAGCAAAAGATCATGATTCTGGATCACATTTCCATGGCAGCAGTCAGACCACTGAAGTTCACAAATAAAGACTCTATTTTTTGCATGCAGACAGTGGTAAATTCTGCAAATTTAGAAAGGAACAGCTTATGCAACTTACTTCCGAGCTCTATTTTCATTTTGTTGAAATAAAAAGACAAAACAAAAGAAAACAAACTGTAAAATATACTAAAACAATCAAATGAGCACAGTGAGCTCGATTCATCAGGTGGGAGTCCTAAGGAGTTGCTACTTCTTTCAGTCAGTAACTGCCTGAGGTGGAGTCTAATTCACTTCCATTTATGATGAAGAAACCTGCAACCTGCAACAGCTCAAACCTTCCAATTAACTATCATCTGTAGATTTTTCTATTCATACAATACACAGAGTGCTTTTTGATACTATCATTTAGAGTGATGATTTCACCATCTTCTCATTTCATGAGAAGCAAAAAAAAGATCCAGACTAGCTGAAGGCAGTTTTAGAGCTGTGACCGTGAGTTTGATACTGGTACCATGATCTGCTGTGGTTTCTTGTATAAAACTGGCCCTGAAACTTCATTCCTTTTAGTTCTGTCTCCAGAGAAATGGTTGAAAAGGTGAAGGAGGGTGACAAATAAAAAAAAAAAAAGAATGGAAAAGAGACATACACATCATGAGCCACTTGAGAAAATGCAAAAGTGCTACAGCAATGTTTTAATCCATGGCACTTTCTTCAGCATTTTTAGAAAATTATCCTGGTTTTGTTTTCGGTTGGTTGGTTGGTTGTTTTTCTTTGTTTGCTGGGTTTCATTTTGTTATTTTTTGTTTGGTTGGTTGGTTTTTGTTTAAATACAAAATTTTTAGAAAGGGGATGCACAGAACTAAAGGACAAAGGTAAATTCATTATTAAAATAGCTGTTCAAAGTTTGGCTGGCACAGCTAAAAAAAAATTACTGCTGTCACCTTCTTCACCCCACCTGATTAACGAATTTTTAAGGCAGATGTAGAACAACACTTTACATTCTGTGAAGCTCTTCTGGGCTTGAATGATATATAATGTTGCAGATAGAGCCTGCTGTGCTTTTTAGATTCTTCTCTGAATATTCATACTCTTCTCTGAACATGCATACACACAGACACACACACAGACACACAAAATAAATAGCGAAGTTAAAATATGAAGAAATAACCTTTGCAATCAAGGATTTAAGTCCAGCAAAGGATGAACAGGCCATACCATCCTCTATTCCAGAACCCCTGCTACTCTTCTCTGCCTCCCAATCCTTTAAGCTAAGAAGGATGCCAAACTTTTTTATATCCACACAAAAATGCGTGACTTTTGTCATCTTTTCATTCCTTCAAGTATTTCTGCAATAGCACAATAATTAAATAAAATTTAATCCTGTAAGTTTGCTAAATACAATACACTAACCCAGGTTTACAGGATACTTCAAACCTTAAGCTTAGCAACCTATTATTTTAAAACATTGCTATGAAATGGAGATACTGTTAGCCTAAATTTATAACAGGAAATAACCTGGCCTTTCCTTCTTGTTTTTTCCTGCAAGATGACATAAAGGTGTTCTTTTCATGATGGATCCTTTCCTTGTTATCTCCTCACAGGATGGCTCAGACACAGACCTACACTGAAAGTTTATCAAAACATCAGTTTGATATTAACCTCACTTAATTTATCTACATCTCCCCTGTGTCTCATGGGAACTAATTGCATAGGCTGTACAAATGGCTGCCTCAGGCTGGATGGGGCCATTGAATAGAGCAGACAAATTGTGTCATGGGTCTTGACCATTCCTCAAAAAGTATCTATGGTTCCTGGGGACAAAAGTCTCTTTTTTTTCCCTCATGCAGTCCAAGGAAAAGGAACTGAATCATTGTACAATGCTGCTGGTTTTGATGTGCTTCATGACAGATATGTATTATGAATTTTAGATGAATACTTATAATCTCTCAATACTGTAATTCAGCTTTATCATCCTTCTGGTTACAATTCTCAGGTTTTCAACCCTGGAAGATTTCAGTAGAGGGGAAGAACTCATCTGAATCCTGCCAGAGGTTCTCAAAGGTGCTAACATAATGACTGTTGGCACGTACTCCCATTTTCCCCATGTCAGGGGGTCATAGCTGACATACCAACATCTGATTTTAGACACTGAGAATATATGATGGAGAGAGACAACTGTTGGGTATGTCCAATAACACTTGATGCATATTCTTTTCATTAAAAACAACATACCTACTCCTAGGCTCTCTTCTATCACATCATTCTGATTATTAATTATTAAAACATCTACTACTAATGAAACTTTCTTCATTTTCTTCTGTCTGTTGTAGCTTGTATCTTACTACCTGTAAGCAAATATGCAACAGCAAAGGATCATCTCAGCAGCAAAAGACAAAGTCTTAGATAATTCAAGAAGCATAGGAAACTTCTAAAACAACACAAACAAGTTCTATTTACTGTTGGCATACACAACCAGCACACTTATTATTTTTTTTGTAAACAGGTAACATAGTAAAACCTTATAATTGTTTACCCAAGCAAAAAAACAACCTCAAGAGCAATTTCAAGTATAAAGGTGGGGAGAAAAAGGAGGGTGGGAGGGAGCAGGATGGGACACGGAGACTGAGAGTGACTATGAGGGAAAGAGAAACTAAGAGAAACCTGGGGAGAAAAGCCAAAGCAAAATAGTACTTACTGATGAATAGCTTGCAAGAATTTGCGTTGATGTTTTCTTACTTTTGCATGGTCTATCTTTTTAACCAGCTTTGTGTTTTTATAAATTAACCATGTTTCCCTGAGTACATTGGCCGCTGCATTTTTCACCTGTTTGATAAAGAAAACAACAGGCGGTCAAAAGTAGCATTATGTCATGTTTCCTCTTTTCTGGAATAAACTCCTTCTAAAGCACTTAAGACCCTGCCTAAATGTGGGAAGTGGATACACAGGAAGTGCAACACCGAGGGCAGAAAGAATAATTGGACCAAGGGGACTGCTGAGCAATTTCCATGTTACTTATAAAAGGGACCAGCTCTCTTTGCATTGAGGAACAATTTCTCCCTCTTCAAAGAGGGAGCACTGTTTGGTGGTTTTGGCAATATAAATTACAGTAAGGAAATACTAACGCTTTATCTATATGGTAAATAAGTTAAAATGAGCTTAATAGTATCATAAAATTTCTCACTTTCTTATTTATGGTTAACACGTCTTCAATCTCTTAGCAATTTAACAGTCTTTTAAAATATACAGAGTGGTTTGAACACACTTTTATCCTTTATTTTGCTTATATTTTTATTGCTGTTTCTTTTTTACTGTTTTCCCAGGAGATTTAAAAGATCTTGCGAATTAATATGGCCAGTGTTCTGTTTCATAAGTCCTTTGATTATTTTTTTTAATGAAGCTTTCCATAGAATGTTAAATGTAAAAGAGAACCTACAGTTCTTCAGGCCCTCCAAAACTTTCAAGAATGCTTAAGAACATCACAGAACTTCAATGCAATGTTGATTAAGTCAGAATAGCTAGTTACTTGCAAAGGAAAACTGTCGTTATTCATCTATATTTTCTCTCCCTTCAACTTTATATCATGCCACTCACTGCAGCATCAGAGCTAAGTCAATGTTGAATGAAAGCCACCACAAGAATGCCATGCAGAAGCTCTCCCAAGCAAGAGATTCCCACCTTGTCCCTGGGGAAGCATTGGAGAACCTCTGTCCTGCTTTTGGTCAAAGCACAATCAGTTTGTGACCTGATGTGCATCTCAGATTTGTTCCCTAGGTTTGTTATTCATGTTCTCTGAGTTTCAGGAGTTTGAAGCTACCCAAGCACCACTTGGATATAGTATTAGACCAATATTTAGATTTATATGAAGAATAGCTGAATAAAAAAAACCTTAAAAGGCACAGATGAACACCAGACTCAAAATCTGGTCAATCTTTGCAAAACCCTTTTCTTCCCTGAAAGACAGTTTGAACTCAGTTGTCAGATTACCCTAGAAAAGTGCCCATGTTAGGAATGAACAAGTTGTTTGTGGTTTAGTATCAACTTAACTGTAACAGGAGTGCAAAACCAACATGCACAGACAGAGAACTAAAGTCAAACACCTTTGTACCTATATAAGAACTGTCATCCCACTCAGACTTTCCTTGACATGACTTCATAGGGTGGATACAGGCTGTCAGTGCTGATGGGCACAGAAACGAGGGAACCAGCAAAAACAGAGTAGCCTGCCAGCATAACCTGGAAACAGCATGTGGAGACATGACACAGCTCTCTGCAAGCAGAGGACCTGCAGCAGCACAGCACTGCACCGATGTGTGGCGCTGTGCTAGGCAGCCAACCTCCTTCCCACCTGGACCAGAGACACGGTTTCCTGCTCAGGCATCAACATCCCTCTCCACCCATCAGCAGGGATAAGTTCTGATGAGTTCTGTTGTAAGGACCTTCCTTTCCATATTGGCTCTTCTCAACAATGAAGATCAAATAAGTTGAGAGGACTGTGTAGATCCCACTAATTTTTTTTGTATCCTCAAAAATGGACTGTTTTATTTCAATAAAGGACTTCTATTGCTTGTTTGCCACATTCTTTCATTTTCCCAAATGCTACTGTATTTCAAAGGTAACTCGTTTACAGTCAAATACTTGAAGTTATATTTGAAAAGAAAAAAATTCCAGTCTTTTTTATGAATTTAATGATTTCTAAAGGATTTTTAAAAATAGTCCCTTCTAATAATATTATCCACAGATGTTGTTCAAGGTACTTCAATAATTATGTGCTGCTAAGTGAACCCTGTGTTGAGTGCAAAAGGCAATTGGAAAGACTGTTTCACTCAGTCTATGAATATGTCTTTTTCTTAAGAACACCCTTCATATCTTGTAATTCCTGTATCACTCATTCCACCTATTTTAGCTAGAAAAAATTTGCATATTCTTCTCATGTGTGGCATGAAGTTTTTTTAGCTCAACATAAGTCTTTAGTTTTACAGCATTTAGCTGTTGATTATACCAATTATATTGCAGCTGCAAGAGAATATATTCTATACAGCATATTCAAATTTTCAATATCTGACAGTTTCTCTCAATTTAGAGAAAATCTTAAGGCATTCAATTCCTTCTCCTTGCAAAATCACACCCTTGAAAAATTTCAGTATAATGGAGCAGGAAACTATTTAAAACAAAAGCAGAAATAAATTAACACATTTCCTTTTCAATTGTGAATATAAATTGTGACTTACTCTTTTAGTTAGCTGGGTGTCCATCATGAAATTATGCACATGTTTTTCTGCTTTGGTAAGTTCTAACTTCCTTGCCACCACAGCTACCACCAGTGCAGTACACCCAGCACCCTGAAAATAATAAAACAAACCCCCAAGATGTTACTATTTCATTTTGCATAGGTTTTAGTTTCAGTTTCTTCTTTTCTGTAGAAGTATGGCAGGCACCAGGTGGTTCATCCCTGGTAAATATAGTGAACATGCTAAAGCTATTTCAGTTCAGAGCAATAGGAAAAGTCTGTAATTACCGGCTGGTCTGTCAAGGCATCAAAATATTCATGAGCAGCATCATTTAAAAGTTCAGTTTTTCTTCCTGCAGGAGTTGAAAATCTGAACACATTCCATTTGTAGTCCACAAACAATGCTTTTGTTTTGACAACAACACTTTTAAACTCCAGAACAGTTACTAAATAAATGCCTGTTTTTAACAATTGTCTAAAGGTTACAGCACTTGCCAAGAAGAAATAAGATTTGATTAGTATTAAGCATACCAAAAAAAATCTTTTTAGGATTTTCTGAGGGTGCAAAAATAATCATAAATTTAGTATTTACTTACTTAGTATATTTCCTTGTTGTTCTCAGAGTCCTTCAATGATCTTTTCTTACAGTATTGCTGCTTATCTTATTACAATTTAAAATAGCACACATACACAAGACCATTTCTTCAAAACTTGGATGGGGAAAGTGTCAATTAATTTTCTAATTTGTGTTGCGTATATCTATGCAAGAAGAGCCAAAGCCAGTACGTACCTGTGCCTCTGAAATGACAGTAACTTTATCACCAGAACGAATTTAAATGTGGGTGGGTTTTTTTTCAGGGAGGAAAGCAAAGGATGCCAAAATGAAGTAGGTAATAAGAAGCAACATTACAGACATCTGAAGGTTTCATTTAATTTACACTATGAATAAATTCTGCTGCCTTAGTTTTATTTTTTGCTTTGTTTTATTTTTAACAATCCTTTACAAGTTCTTTTTTAAAAAGTACAAAAAGAACATGAAATATGCCAGGCTGTGTTTAACTTGCAGTTTCACCCCAATCTAGTTATTATTGCACCTGTGTCAGTTACTGTCCAGTATAAAGCAATCTCTTGTACACTGAAGCTTACCACATTTTCATTCACAGAGCTTTCTTCCATTCTTTCTCTATTTCTTCATTCTCCACCTCTATGAGTGCCTTACTCTCTCCAGAAAATCCAGAAGAAATACCTGAATCCAGCTTTCACAATAAAACTTCAGTAATAAACACATAGAGACTGCAAAATAAATTAACTCATTGGAAACCCTTATTCACATAGTGTCCTCAAGAGAAAAAAAATAAATAAAAAAAAAAATCTGCTTTCTTTGCTTACTTACTGAGGCACACAATGAATTCTGTAAAAGACTCCAAGCAATTAATTCTTCATGCCCTGGTATATTGTTCCAATAAATCCATCTGCTCCCTCACAAACACCTAATTCTCTACAATTAATTCTCACCTAGCAAAGCATATCCCCAAGGAGCATTCAACATTCCTTTGAATGAGTCCTTTGTAATTTTGCTGCATTTCCTTTTTCCCTTTAGTCCTTGGTACCAAGCTTTCTAGTTTCTGTTCTTTCTGTTGGAGGACATTTACTTGAAGTTTTGCTCTCCCCATGAGGTGACTCAAAATGGGTCTGTAAGTTCCTTGGCTTCTCCAGATTAAAAGTTAAAAAGGCAGAAGATGGACAATGCAATTTAAGGCTGAGCAATTCAGAAATCCACCAAGCCCTCTGAGAAGTCAGGAGATGCTCTACCCTATGTCCTACCTCCCCAGAAAACACACAGCTCTCCTTTAGTCTTCTTTCTGTGAAAAATGGCAGAAGGGAAGTGCTGAAGACCTTTGTGGGCAAATAAATAAATGAGTTACCCCATACATGAAGAGAAAATAGACATCTTTTGGTCCAGTATGTCAGGATAACCAGGATCAAATTAATGACGTAACTTGAGTTCTACCTGCTTATAGCATGAATGCTAAAACAGAATGAAAATATTCATAGCAACACCCCTGGCAAAGTGGCACAATACGGCTGTTTATGCCAAGTTACCAGGGCAGGGAAATATTAGATGCCACTTCCCACAGCCCCCCAAAAAAGCCAGAGGAATGGTGATAGACTAACAGCTAATAGAAATAAGATTGAAATTCCACTTAAAGTACGTAGTGTTATTTAATATTTTATATTACAAAGGTCTGTGCTATTTTATGGCTCCGTAAAGATCTCAGCATCCTTAAAGATACTAATAGAGTGAGAATTATTCCAAACTGCAGAAATGAAGTAGAGGCAATACAGTTACTCTAAAATGGTAGAACTGCAACCATCAAATTTCCATGTTTTAGAATATCCCGATTCAGATGAAAATCAGTAGCATGAATTAAATTAATTCATGCTCATGGGCTCAGGTTTTTTTCTTGTATTAATACTATAATGCAGTATCTACTTTTTTATTAAAATTACTTAGGCTAAGCAAAAGCACTATGGCATTAATTTAAACTGCAAGGAGGGCTATTTTGAGAATAGAATTTAAAAAAGTCTTATATTTGATTACTGTATTTTATAATTTCCAACATAATTCTATTTTTCCTGTTATGAGTATACTAAACCACTGCTTCAAGCTGCTGCTTAACTTTCAGGGGAATTATACATAATTAAAAAAAAAATTAAAATGCAGGTATATATTTTCAAGTAACAAGGCAGTAATTATTTCTACTTCAAATTTGCTCTCTTCAGTCAGTCTCTTGTCCACCTCTTGCATTAAAGAGATTGGAGTGTATTTTGGCTTGGTAAGCACACTGATTTTAAGGGCACTTAGGACTTCCAGTGTGTCAAAAGTTGAGGGAAAAGAGAATGAAAGAATATTTGTAACATTCCCTCATCAGTGCATCACAATTTCAGCTAGATATATGTATATCTGAAAGCCACCAACTTCAACCTCACTGAACAATCCATTTAAGAATGAGTAATAGGACAACAACTATGCCATCTCAGCCAGAAAAGGTGACCTAAAATAGTTTTGCATTATTTGTACTTCATATATTCATAATGCCTCCCTGGCTACTATTGTCTCCAGTGGAGTTTGCACCCCAGCTAGAATTTTATTGCAACATTTAAACTTCTAATGTATAATGCACCTGCTACAACCACAGTTGATTCTATTATTCCTTTCTCTATGGCATCACATATAGAACATTTGCCCCCAGTTGCAATATTTTGTAATTTCTGGCTCTTCCTTCTCATGACTCCAGTAGGTCCCTTGAGACAAAACCTTTTGCATTGTCTCTTGACTTAGGAAAAGCTTCCTGGAAACACGTGCAAAGCTAATGCATAGTTTTCTTTCAAATTCCTCCCCCTCTTTTTAGGATAGCAAAGCCCAGCAAAACTAGTGAAGGTACTTAATGCCAAGATCATTTGTTTTGATCCTGCATAATACCTCCTTGTTCCACACTCTCTTGGCTATATGAGGATGGTAAACTGTTCAGGAACTTGGACTACAAGTTGGTACTATCTTTATACAGTATTGGTATCAATAGAATCAGGTCTTAAGAGTCCTGAAGCCCTATATGAACATAAAAACGAATAAATAATGAAGGTAGGTCTGTATTAACCAATTACACAGTACACATCATAATGGGAGAACTGACTTTGCCTTTTTTTTTTTCTCTTTCAGATCCTGATGTGGTTTGCTGACATAATGCATCAATGTACGTACTACATAGTATACCGGCTGAGATGCCTTCAGCAGTCTAATCACAGTCCCTTGTCCTCTTCGCTGATGCAGACCTGCCTGAACTTTCTGCTGTTATCATCAGAACCACCACACCAAAGCTGACTAACTTAAAAACTACCACACAGGCTTTTTACATTATGGTAAACCCAAACAGATAAAGCCATGACAGCTAGAGAGAAAAAGCAGGTGTTGCCCAAAGCATGTAATGAGGGTGAGTCTATGGAATTTAAATCAAGGCCATGACTTTCGTACTGTTCACAAGAGCCAGGACTGAGGGTTCACACTGGTGCAATACACAGTGATTGCAAAACTGCTGCTTCAGGCTCCTATAAAGTCTAGTATTTACATCTAACTTACTGGTAAAGGCCAAGTTTTACTGATAACCAAAAAAGAGGTGTTTGCAACTTTTCAACTGAAGGGTTATCTAAGGTAAACAACAGTTATCACTGGCTGATAATCTGCACTGAAAACAGCATTTGGTCAGCAGAGAAACTCAGTACTCTAAGTAAATGCCTCTGGCATTCCCACTTGGTTCCTTCTTTGCTAAGGTTCCAAAATAACTTTACAAGGCAGAGATGAATTTCTGCAGCTGCCTGGAGGTCATATATATGCCTGGAGGGTGCTACTGGTGGGAAAGAAAACAACACTCCATGTCAGTGTCTCAGCTGAAAAATCCCTGGCACTTTCGGTTTAGTGGACTGGAAATGAAGTGTGGTCTTTAGTGCTGCAATTGCCACAAAAATGTGGCTATACTTGCCTGTAACTGAAAGAAGGCATTTCCTGTATTTCTTGCTCACTTCCCTTGGGATCCACTGAGGGAGTGGAAAAGGTCCACTTTGCAGACATACCTCACGTAAAGAAAAGTCTCCATTCCATTACCAGGAATGAAAGACCATGGTCATGGTGCAAGTGTATATAGTCTACAAGCCAGCAAATAAATATTTCTTTATGACTACCATAAATTTTGCAATTAATTGCAGCAAACTTAATCTTGTATCTAGTGAATAAATTCAGAAACACTCACCATTATTCCAGTGAGTAAACAGACTCCTTTCCCACAGTATGTATTAGGTACCATGTCGCCATATCCAATGGATAAAAAAGTTATTGAAATCAACCACATTGCTCCAAGAAAGTTGCTAGTAACATCCTGTTGATCATGGTACCTGAAAAGAAAAAGAAAATGGTTTTGTTATTGTGAAAACTTTTATTAAACTTTTGTGCTGTCAGAAAAAAATCATATTAACTGGTCATACAACCATTCTTGTTATTACCTTTTTGAGAACAGCTATAAGGAAATAAATAAAAATCAAATACGATTACATCAGCAATAAAGAAATAGAAGGTACCACAGCACCAGTAGTAGAGCTACTCAGATGGTTCATAGTTCAGTATGTTTATTATTATTAAAATGTTGCTGTTATTAAAATAGCAGAAACCTCATAATTTAATAAAGTCTCTTCATCAGGGGTACAAGTCCTGCTAATCCTCTGCAGCAGTGTAAGACACCAGTCTACTATAGTTGCTGCAGTCCAAGGCAAACATGAAAGTCAAAAAAGGATGTTTGAGCAAGCAGACAGCAGATCATATCTCCACCTCCTTGGCTCAAACGCAAGCCTATAACCCGAAACCTGATCAGGAACTATCCTGTAAATGCTTACTTAGACTAAGATCTTCCGTCTCCTTCTACGTGCCCAAGATAAATACAAAAGTATGGCATTGTATTTTTCATCATCAAAAGATCTTTACCAGCAAAATCTTTGTACGGACCTTTGTACAGCAAAACCTTCTTTTTGTATTGACAGCTATTAGGTCTGATTTCCTGATGTACCATTTCTTGTCTTAGTTTTAATATTCTAGTGGAATATATTAATTTCCTCCTTCAAAGAAAAGAACTTCAGATAAATAATCTAGTCTTCACATAATTTATACATTTAGTCAACAGGGAAGACATAAGGACACATTTTAGGCTTAAACCTGTTACCAAGACTCATTCTGTGGGGGGAAGAATGCCTTATTAGGCCTTATTATGCCTAAAGTGGGTGGAATTTTGCTCCCCAGAGAGAGTAGCTCTGCAACAGAGACTATCTGTGCTAGCTCAAGGTGGCACTAATTCCTGCAGCTGCTGTGAAGCCTTAGATTAGCTAGCTATGCTGTTGGATCCCTAATGGTATTATTTTAGCCAGTCCCTGAATCCGTGTTGAAAGAGTGATTTCTTAAGTTAAAAATCTGTAAGTAAAACAGAGACAATCTAAAAGAGGGATGGGGAGGAGGGGTGTCATTGTCCTGATAATCCCAACGTTTCTATGCCAGACTTACAGGGAGGTAGATTGGTTTTGCCTTTGTTGGTTTTTTTTCGGGTTGTTTGTTTTTGCAACCTCATTAATAATTTCTGAATCTCTGTTATTGGTAATTTTGGTGCATGCCTGCACCCTTCTGATTTTTTGTAAGATTACAGTTGTGCCAGCACACACTTTCAAGCACTCTACTATGTCATTAGGCATGACCGCCACTTGGGATGCAAGCCTGAATGAGGCTACCCTGCATCCACAACATCTCATTTTCAACCAGACGGTGAAAGACAGCTGGAATATGACACACTTCAGAATTCAACTGCAGTTCTCCTAAACTATCCATTCATCCGGTATCTGAGAGCACTGAACTCTGACTGGAAAATAACATACTATGAACAGCTCAGAAAGACAAAAGCTCAGTAAGTAAAGAAAAAGAAACAATTTCTGCAGCAAGTTCCACACAAAACAAAATACAGTCACTACCAAACAGACTCCAGAATATAAGCATTTTGTTATTAAACTTCAGTTTGAGAAAGGCATTTATTTTTTATAGCTATTTGTGTATTTTCTTTCAAATAACTACAAAAACATTTATTTAAATATTTAAAGCCACTACTCTTAGTCAGTTAAAACATGCACTAGAAACACTGTAAAACAAACACTAGAAAACAGCCGTATGTCGATAAAAGCTAGTATTTCACTGCATTAAAATGGCAGCTATAAACAGGCTGAATTTCTGGATTACATCCAGCTTCACACAGCAGCAGAATGTAGGATAAATTTAGAAAAGCTGTTTATTCCCCCAGGGTAGAAAACTCTTTGTCTGAAGTCGCACAGGCATAAGTATGATCTATGACTCCTCTCCTTCTAAGAAATGTGCTAGCAGGCAGGGAGTTGCACAGCTGGAACTTACTACTCACTAGGCAATACACATCCTGTGAAACACCCTTATCCACTGCTCTATAACCAGCATATGTTAAGTCCTGCAACTACTAAATTAAAACCAAAAATAGCTGAACTATTACATTTGTGCAAAAATAGCACATCTTGATTCCTTCCCAAGCCAAACTGAGTGGGAGTTTTACCATTCATCTCAGGAAGACATAAATATATTCCTCAGCTGACAATACTGCAGTGGCCTGGGTTGTCAAAGCAGTATTACAGATTCTTTATCGAACAGCAGTCCTTTTCTTCTCTATCAGTATCATGATTTTCAGTACCACTTTCCTTCAGAAATATGTTCATATTTGATGACATTTTATTTACTTGGTAAATCATCTTTTTAGCTACACACAGTTATCACATATTGACATCTTGACACCTAAGACACATTCATCTTAAAAAGAGATGATTAAGACAAAATCCAGTACAACATGAAACGTGACCATATTCACATTAATTCACACTTAGGAGTTTGATTTCAGTTTATCTTACTCTATGGACAGCCTCTGGTAACTGCCATCTTTGTTTTGGCTTTCTTGAACAATTCAAGGAAAGAACTAAAAAACCTCTTTTTGTAGGGAAGAAAATGCTTTTACCATAATTATCCAGAAATTCCTAGCCTGCACTTTAGTGGCAATCCAGGCTGAGTTTAGTTTTGTCAAACCTTAGAACTTTTAGACTAAGAACAGCTGGAAACAGGCTCAGCCCTTTAAAGCAGAAACTTGCCAAGACTCTTGAGACACTGATAGATCTAACCAGCTATTAGAGCTCGGTCCCCCAGTATCAGGCTATTCTGTTACTATGTGCCTTTTTAGTCTTAGTTAGATGGTAGGTTCTGGAAGCTTTTAATCTCTTAACACAGATAAAAATAATAGACAGGTGATGATAATAGACAGATTTTTTATTTGTTCTCACTTCCTTTATCCCTTTTTACTTTTTCAAAAGAAGGAATATGAAGGAATGGTGGAACTGACTCCTAATAAAGACTCGCATCAGCAGCAGCTCGAAACCCAACCAAAAGTAATGGATGCGAGTAATCTGTCTGAATTGCTTCTTTGGGGTCAAAATGTTAATGATTTTTCTATTAGGTATATTTGTAGACTATTTATGGAAAACTAATAAATCCAACAGAGAAATGTTCAATATCTTTACATAAGCAGCTTGTGTTATTCTGTTAGCTAAGATGGATAGAAAAATACTCTAAAAGAAAACAAGAGGACAGAGGAAAGAGAAATCAACACACATACACATAAAAAGGTAGACGGCATGTTCTAAGAAATTTTACACTTACATTCTTTAATATGAACTACAGCTAAATATAAGTTTGTAGGCATAAAATTATTTAGACTCCTAGCTGCTGTCAGGCATCTACTTCTCAATGCCTGGGCAATGACTAACCTGCCAGCAGAGAAGGTTTAAGGACAAACTGCTGTTTTTGCAAAGGGTACCAAACTCTCATTTGACATCCGCTGGTAAAGGTCTTGTTTTCCTGGTGCTGTGAAGAGCTGATGCTCTGCTAAATCAGTACACTTCTCTGCAGTCAGTCATGGTAGATGGAAAGATTTTCCATCTTTCCAAGAGAAGCCATTCACCTATAAACATAATCTAAAGATATCAAATTGCTGAAACTCCTTAAAAGAGTTATCTCACCTTTACATTTATTTTTTTTTTATTTTTTTAACCTGCATTCACTAGTTGTGTAAGAAACTGAAGGAGAAGCTGTTGAATCAATTCTACAAGTATTAGAAAACTGGGAATTGGAAAACCTTTAAATTTGTGATACAGCACTCTACTAAGAAGAACAGCATCAAAGGTAAGAATTCTCAGTATCAGTTTCAAGCTACATGTAGTTTGCTGAAAAAAAGCCTTCAGAAATTCAAGTTTTCAAAATTAGAAATATAATTACTCATAATGAACTTAAATTAAACCTATCTTTTTTCTGACATAAAACGGCCGAACTAGGTAAATGTTAGCCTTTCTTTTCTCTTGTATGTTGAAAAAGTGGGGATAAAAAATGAGGAGGGGAAATTATACAGCAAAGATGATGCTGAATCTCAGAGACTACTTTCTGACAAATTGAGTACTTTGAAGGTATTCTTCTTTCATGGAACTAATTCTATTTATCAAATGCAAATTACTATTTTTTAATATCTTAGTTTTCTACAGCAGAAGCTGATGTATCACCTTTCATAAAAAGGAATGAAGTAAAAGCTCACGGCCATAAAACCTGATTTTTTTTCTGAACAGACTCTGGATCAGAGCAGAAGCATGTGGTCAGTGCAAAAAATTTCCATTGACTGCTTCAGATTTTGGACTAGGCTTACACTGTCTATCACGAACCCTGCTGGAGCCATATGCTTAACTTAAATCAAGCTAAAGTATACTTATTCCTTGAATATAGTTTAGTTTGCTTTATGAAAAGGAAAAGCCATATTGAGTTTAGTTTCTATTAAGTCACACTGCTTGAAACTGGACAGGCTTCATTGAATATTTATAATTTCAAAACCGTACTTTGTGTCCTTCTGGGAGTCATCTGAAAGTTGTGCCAGATGTCACTATTAGTTTATTTGTAATGAACTAGGGACAGTCAGTACATTTAATGTTATGAAACATGAAGTACAAAGCCATAACTATATATTGCTGTATAGCAAATGAAACAAGGAAAGCACTTGTAACCTAAATATTTTCCTCTTCTATTTTTATGTATGAAAGTTCAGCATGAGGCTGTCAAAAAAGAAAGTGTTCTCATTCTTAAATTTTGCTCTTTTCATCAATCCAGTCAGGCAGCTAGGAAAATCCTTCAGGATGAATTTTGGTGGTTAACCTAGAAATGTTCATTTACTCCGTAAATTGATTGAGAAAGGTTAAAAACATAGAGGAAAGATTTCTGTGTCTCTGGTGCTGTATGCCTTACTCTGGAGTGAGTACGT